GTCAATAAAAGGAAACTACCTGGGGATCCTAAACACCTTTTCACTTTGGGTAGCTTCCTTCTTCACTTTCATTTTGTATAATTTCTTTTCTGTAATAAACCGTGTGGGATTGCTTAGTATTTGTGATCACTCTGTCATTGGCTCAACTTGGTACCAGTACTCACTCTTGACACTGGGAACCAAGGCCCAGGGAACCTCGAGATAGACCTAGCATAAGGAGACATCAAGAAATGAAACATTGATGTTGCCCTGGCAGTGGCAAAAAGGGTACAGACCCTTTGTAAGAGTCATGCAAGTTATCTTGAACAGCAAGCCCAAAGATGGCAGATGAATGAGTTTCTGTAATGCTGGGAAGATCCAATTATCTGCAAGCTCTGCTGTCTCCAGGAAGCTCTCTTAGACATTTCTAGGACATAGTGATAACTTAAATCCTTGTTCTTTTTCTCTGTCAATTTGTCATCTTATTATACATTCCTTTGGGATGCTAGATATTTCTTCTGTATGTTTGTTACTGTCCTGATGAGATTGGAAGCAGAAGTAATAAACACTTTTGTTCTTTTGTGGAGTTTTGAGGGCATTTTTGGGTAATAATCAGTGAATGTTTATGAAGGGATTGGCTAATTAACCCATTAATGATCGCCACTGGACTTACATATTTTAATGAAAATGGCAAATTTAAAAAATGTGTTTGGTTAGCTGAAAGTCTTTTTGAAGTACTTTTCTGAACATGATATATAAAAAGATCCTTGGTCTGAGACTCAGAGGTGTTTTTACTTTTTCTCTTCCACTAACCAGCTGTGTGATCCTGAGCTAGTAATAGCATCTCTCCTGGGTCTTGGGTCCATCCTTCGTAAAATGGAAAGATTGGCTGAGATCATCTCTAAGGTCCCTTCCATCTTTAAGAGTTTGTTAACCAAAGAGTTTAGGTCACCTTCATCAACACTACTAAAGCTTTTAACACTTCATTAGGACTGAATTCAAGTTTCCAGGATTATTTAGTTTTCCCAAGTAGCTTGAGAATTTACATGCCTAAACTGAGAAGGTAAGCTATGATTTTATCAAACATACCCCTAGGAAGATACATTCCCTCTTGTCAAGACTCTTTTGGAGTGATATGCTATCTCTGATCCTGATCCTAGTCAAATCTTTTCACACCCAGATGAAAGAGGGATTAAGCGATAAGATCCTTGGAAAGTTTTTAATACAAGCATGTTGTGCTCCTACAGGTGAGGTGACTAACACCTGTAATCCCAGCACTTTGGGGGAAGCTGAGGTGGGAGGATTGCTTGAGGCCAGGAGTTCAAGACCAACCTGGGCAACTTGATGAGAGCCCTGTCTCTACAAAAAATAAGAAAAATTTACTGGATGTGGTGGTGTGCACCTGTAGTCCCAGCTACTTGGGAAGTTGAGGAAGGAGGATCATTTGAGCCCACGAATAGCCCAGGCAACAGAGGGAGACCCTGTCTCAAAAGAAAAAAAATGCCGTCAAGTTTTCAGCAAATTTCTTACAAAAACTATTAATATATCATTTTGATAACTTACCCTAAGCACCCACTGAACAGAGGGCCATGGCAACAATAACCACCAGTGACTCCCTGAAGATTGTAGTGACATTTCCTGGAAGTTCTTGACACTGAGTTGCATTCTTCGTTTTGTCTTTTAAAACTCCAGGTAGAATATTCCACCCCTTACCCTGTCTTCAATTTCTCTCTTCCACTTCACTCTCTTCCTAGCCCTGTTCAGTCCTGTCTGCTCCATAGCACTCCCCTCCCTACAGTGAACCATCCCTTACTTTGATCAGCAGGTGTCTGAGATATGTAAGGCACAGGGCAGGTGTGTGAAGATCAGTGAGAGGACAGGAGCTTATACAAAGTTGGGATCTGCGGGTTCAGCTTCAGATATACACATTCAACTTTAGTTCTACAAGTTCAGCTTCAGAATAAATATACATGAAGATATTTAGACTCAAATGTATCTCTTCCATCTTTTGTTTTGCCTTTCTTGATGTTTGCTAAAAAAATACAATTTATCCATCCATCTACTTTTATTTATTTTTGAGAGAAGGTCTCTGTCTGTTGCCCAGGCTGGAGGACAGTGGCATCATCATACTCCCTGTAACCTGCAACTCCTGGGCTCAAGCCATCCTCCTGCCTCAGTCTCCCGAGTAGCTGGGACTACAGGAGTATACCACCATGCTCAACTAACATTTTAATTTTTTGTTGAGATGGGGGTTTTGCTATGTTGCCCAGGTTGGTCTTGAACTCCTGTCCTCAAGCTATTCTCCTGCCTTGGCCTCCCAAAGTGCTAGGATTACAGGCATGAGCCTGGGGACCGACTGGCTGAGCATACAATCTTTTAATGCATACACAGAAATCTCAAATTTTTAGAAATACAAATTGTATATAATTCTATGAACACCTGAGGATATTTATTTTCAAGACCCATAACTGGAGTCCTTTTCTTGGTGTAATCTTGAAGCCTGTAAATTTCCTTGGCCATGCTAACCCTGGGAACTTTTCTTGCCTTCTAGCTCCAGTTCAGCAGTGATTTGGTGAGATATCTGTGGCAATTACTGTAAACAGAACTTTATCTTACTTTTTCTTCCTTCCCTTACATTGACAAAACACTGTTATCAGTTTTACTTGGGATGGTCAAAAGACCTTGAGAACACTGTACTTCAATCTAAATGTTACAAGAATTTGGCAACTTTCCCTACTGCAATAAATGACTACTCTTTCCTTCCCATTCAGGCTAAAAACCTGAGAGTCAACCTTTACTCCTACTGTGTTCACACCTCATATCCAGTTTACAGAAATCCTGTGACTCTACTTAAATGAACAGCCAGAAACCAATCACATCTTACTATCTCCAAGGCTACCCCTAGTCTAAGTCATCATGATATCTCACATTAATTAGTGCAATACTCTTTTAACTGGTCTCCTGGCTTCCACATTATCCTCCCTGTGGTCCAGTTTCAACATAGGAGTCGATATGATCCATTTAAAAGTCACATCAGCCTACTCCTCTGCCCAAAACCTTTCCGTAGATCCCCATCTTAGAGAAGTCAAGTCCCTTATAAAAAGTCTGTACGTTCCTAGGCCTTCTAGCTCCCTCACCAAGCTTCTTCCCACTCATACCTCATGACCCTATTTCTGTCCACTTCCCTGTTAGGAATGCTCTTTCCCAACATAACTGTATGGCTAGTTACTCCCTTTTTCCTTCTTCACTCAAATGTTACCTCACGGAGGCCTATCCTGACCAGCCTATTTAAGTATGCACATGTCTATACTCTGGTTTCTCTTCAGATCGTATGACTCTTTTGCCTTTTAAATATGCACACGTCTACACACATCTAAGCATCTCCTATTACGTGCTCCAGTTTTCTCCGTAGCATTTAGTATTATTTAATACAGAAGCTCCCAAAGTTGCCACAACTTTCTAGCAAGTTCCCAAGTGATGCTGGTGGTCCAGGGACCACACCTTTGAGAACCACTGCTTCAGGAGAATCTTTTCTTTCAGGTTCTCAATCTTTCTAGTTGGGGTAGGGCTAAACCATACAAACTTCAGGGACCACCTAAAGTGTCTCTTAAAACTTAGAATGCTAAGCCCCAGCCCTAGAGTTTCTGATTGGCTAGGACTGAGGTAGGGCTTGAGAACCACTGGTTATGATATACTTTTATTGTTTGTTTCCTTTCCATTAGAATGTAAACACTATGAGGCAGGGATCTTCTTTTCTGCTGTTTCCTCTTGCAAAGAATAATACCAGGCACATAGTGGTTGTTCAATAAATACATGTTGAATGAATAAATGAAAATTGCTTATCCTAGTGTTACATCAGAAATGTCTCCTAATTTTATCGTCAGATTTTATATTAAAAAATACAAAGTTAAAAAACATCATATAGTTCAGTCCCCTCATGCAAGAAAAGCATTTTAAACATTGGGTCACAGAGACAACTGAGATTTCCTGGCATTTGAGAAATAAATTGTTAACAATTCACACTATTATAGCATTAACAACAATGAACATTTACAGAATGCTACCATGTTGCTAAGCACTCAGTGTACTGTATCTCATTTAATATCACAACAATCTGAGGTGGCTAGTGGTGACACACTTTACAGAGAAGCGCTGTTTCACCACATAGCCTGATCGCCAGTGGACTCCATGGCTTCCATAGGTCTCCTTCCCTCCATATGTTCTTCTAATTGGGAGTCAACAGGTAGGGTGTGAAATAAAAGGTGATGAGCTTGCTTTTTAGTATCCAGGCATGTTAAGGTTTGAATTAAAATCTGCTGCTTTATAAATTTATCTCTTAAAACACTAAAGCTCATCCTAGCCATTTTTCTATTATAAGAACACTTTAGAGAACTATATGAGAGTACTGGATTTCTAGATGCAAATGGTGAACCCTACAAATGTTTATATATCTTGTAAAAGATATGAAAATGTTTTTTAAGAGGCTAATGTTTTTAGGGGATTGTTTTTTTCGATAATTTAGAATTATTCACATGAATACTCGTTCCACCAAACCCTGTACAACAGCATTGTATTTATGCAGAGAAAAATTGGCACAAATGATTATAAGTTAGTGATTCACTTTTTTTTTCAAATAGTATGTTAGACTAGGTGTCAGTAAACTTTGTCTTAAAGGACAGATAGCAAATATTTCAGACTTGCAAGTCATACAACTCTGTAGTTGTGGAAAGCAATCACAGACAAAACATAAATGAATGGGTACGGTTTTGTTCCAATAAAACTTTATTTACACAACAGGTGGACAGCCCATGGGCCACACCTTGCTGACTCCTTAGTTAAAAGATTCCAATCTTGGTGGCATGAATAAAATGGACCAGATAAATTTCAGGTAAATTGTCCAATTTACTTGAAAAAAAAAAAACCTGTTTCTTACTTTATAGAAACATCCGTATTCCTGTAGCTAAAAATAATGACGTAAAAATGACAGTTTTAGCATGCAAATCAAGACAGACATTTGGCTCTGTGATAAGCTGAATTCGTTAGAAGAATCCTTGTATTTATTTTTCACACAGCACAAATGCAGGTGACACAGTAGGTCCATAATTCCCCACACAACTTATAAACATAAAACCTGGGAATCTAAAAGTCTTATAATCTTCTGCATCATTCACAGCTATCCACCCTATGGAATCTATTCCACAGCAGCAGAGGAGAACCTTAACTTAAAGCACCAAGTTTCCAGGCATTACTACAAATATCTTCTTTTCATTCTCTAATACATGCAGTCAAACTGCCTACGAAGCAAATACCAATTCACCTTAAGCTTCAATGGATAAGGGGAAGCAGTTGGGAAACCAACATTATATTTAACATGAAATAAATTGAATTTTGAACATAATGTCTTTCAGATTCATCTAACAGTTTAGGACATTCATATTTGTTTTATGTTTTGAAAACAAAAACATATCTCTAATCTAAAATATTCTAGCAATCTTTACAGAAGTTAAATTTAGAGTTTTAAAGCAAAGTACTATGGCCTGCTTATCCAAACAGTATTAAAAAAAATTCCCCTAATTATATGCAAATTATGATATAAAGCTTATTCCCAATATACATTTTATAGAGGTATGTTTTCATTTTTTGAAGTAAAGATTCAATGGGCACTTTCAGGGTCTTGCTAACATCAGCCCTATATCCACAGAGATGACCGGATCCATGAAATGGACAATGAAAACTGGTTGAGGCTGACGATGAATGCTTCGATAGGAATCTGATATACATAGGTTGCACTGTTATATTCAATGGAACTGAAGTCTTCCTTAATTGACGTTGACAGGCAAATGGACTGTTAGTTTTTTACGCCAAAAATACATGGAACTGCTTGATGTATGCAGGCTTCATTCTCTGCCTGTTGTCAGCAACTTGAGGGCCTTCTGCAGATTCTGTACAGCAGTGCTAACATCCTCGTACTGCAACGCACTGCCGGCATACTTGCAGTATTTCTGAGCTCTGGCAAAGTCCTCTGGGGTTAGACGGATATCCCCTAGAAGGAAAAGAATAATTAAGATACTTATAAAAATATAAAAAGTGTTCTGTTAGTAAATTCTTCTGTTCAAGATTAAAGAAAATAGTTAAGGTTATATAAAAACACAACCGTTTTTTACAGTCCCATATGAATTTTGGTAAATTTTCCTTCATTCTTTTCAATTTTCTTATTATTAATATAAACCACAGATATGCCAATACATAAATAACTTATATAAATATGATTTTCCTTCAGGAAGTAATAAGCAAGGAGTTTTTCCATTTTAGCAAAGTAACTGCAAAAAGAGTTTGTGTGAAATAAGAACATTAGCTTTGGTGTTTTTGCTAGAGTTGCTGAGCCTCTCTTTTCATGGAACAATACACACAGACTAAACCATTCAACCTTTCTTTGAGCTGGAATATAAACATATCCCTCAATAAAAAAAAAGGTGAATAACTTTATGTAAAAATTACATGTCGCATACCTTCTTTTTAGCATAAAAATGTTTTACATTTTTGTGTCATCTATTTAAAAAATTTGTAAGCTTTGCCAAAATTTTATAGCACTAAAATACAAAATGAAACATGTAAACAGCCATTACATATTATTTCTCCAAAATTTATTCTCACCAAGTTTTCTAGACATATGCATGATTAATATGTATAGAGTCCAACTAAATAATTTGGGTAAAAAAACACATTAAAATATTTAATCTAAGACATGAATATCTTTGAATATCTATTTCTAAAGACAAAATTAAAAACTGATATTGTACCTTGTCTTTTGAAATAACCACATTTTCTCTGGCAATTTTAATGGGGATACTAAGGAGTCCCAATCCTTTAGACAGGGGCATAAAATGCAATGAGCAAATGATATATTTTAATTCTTTTCATAAATAGAATGACTGTTTAGTTGCTTTTAATTCTGCCATATATATGACCTAAAATTAAAACTTTGAGATACCTTGGTATAAACTCCAAAGTAGATAGCATCTCCAGTTAGGCTGAGACTAAGTTCTGATCCAAATTATTGTTTTCTAAAATTTTCAAAGAGTATCCTAAAGTTTCTAGCTCAGTGTAAGGTACCTATAGGTGCTCAGTAACTTTCATGAATGAATATGAAAAGGTAGTCTTTACTTTAAATTATTTCCCACATTTTAAAATAAAGTTCATATAGAATTAAACATTAATTAAATTTCAGATTTTAAGTAATACACTTATATACTTACATAGTGTAACTAGTACAGGGTACTACATGAAGTAAGCCTTCAAATATTTGTTGAATTAATATTATTTTTAAGATTACATAAAATTTGGTCCTTACTCTTGTAAGAATCAGAGATTACACATTGCAATTTTAACAGAAATCATTTTAATTGCCTTGAATTTTGGTGTTGCTTGGAAAGCAAGCAATATTAATCAATAAACTAGTTAGGCTATAACTAGATATTAAAAAAAAAGACAAACAATGTCTCCACAATTCTACTTTTAGTCTTTTAGTGACTTGGCATTTGTTATCCATTAAAACTCATCAACAATTATCTTGCAGTTCTGTTGACAATTCAGTCAGGCACACTTCAGTTCATTTTTTTTTTCTTGAAAAATGCCTACCAGATTCTTTAATAGTTTTTCAAAGATATATTTAGAGGCTCTAGTCACCTAGATATATATACATACTACCTAGGTGAGTGGGACACTTTTGAAAAACTAAGTTTACCTTAACTGTTCATTCTGTGCTTTATCATTCTATCCTCTTGTCTCACGACAATCTTTCAAATATACAAGGCATCTGTCCAGAGTTTACCGGAAATGCTGGGAGAAAGCTGTAATACTCAGACTAATTTTATTTTTACAGCATTAGTTTTAGCACTGTTTGTCTGACATATCACTTATCTATTAATAAGATAAAATGTGTACAATGGCAAGAACTTTGTCACTATTTTAGTTTTTATAAATTAAACTTATCCACAGTGATAAAACTATTTTAAAACACAAATGTTGTATTTTTTCAAGAAATAACAATCTCAATATTTATAAAATATAAATGAAAATATTTTAACAGAAAATTACTTAGATACACATAGAGATAGTTAACTTTTGCTATTTTGTAACACATCAGGCTCTCCTTTCTTTTAAAAATACAGAGTAGTCTACAAGTTAATAAAATATAAATTAAAATTTTAAATTTAATAAAAATGATTATGTCATCTGATTATGATTCTTTTAAATTAAATTTGAAATCTCAATAGAGAAAACGCAAAAGACGTAAGAAGGAAAACACATGTTCTGCAACCTGCTTTTTCACTTAGTATGTCTAAGTGATCTTTTCATGTGAAAGCTATCATATTCTTTTTAATATGTGTACAGTATTCCACAGTAAAAATGGACCATTATTAATATAACCACTTTCTAAAAATGGGCATTTAAAATCACTCTTTATATTACTATAAACAATGCTGAAGTAAAAGTAACTTTGTAAATACTTGTGCCCATGTCTAAGTATTTCTTTAAGACAGACTCCTAAAAGTGGAATAGCTGGGCCAAAAGGGCCAAAATTATAAGTAGTTATAATTTTGATAGTGACATAATGCTACTAAAAAAGCTTTATCAATTTATATTTTCACCAATAGGATGTAAGAGTTATTCCCCATAACTTCAATAACAGATTATCAATCTTTTATAGTACTTTTGTATCTACTGACATAAAACCAAACTCACTTTAATTTTCAATTTTTCTGATTATTAGTAAGGTTGGGCATCTTTTATACATGCATTGCACATTTACATTACCTATTAATATTTTTGCTCATTTTTTCCTACTGATTTGAGTTTTAGTTATTCATTTGTGTAGGGGCTCTTTATACATGCTCTGGATATTAATGCTTTACTTTTTAAATATCCACTATGGTTTGGATATTTGATACCTTCAAATCTCACATTGAAATTTGATCCCTACTGTTGGAGGTGGGGATTAATGGGAGGTGTTTGGGTCATGGGGTTGATCCCTCATGAATGCATTAATGCCCTGGGGGTGGTGGTGGTGGTGGTGGTGGTGGTGTGGTGGTGCTGAGTGTATGAATTCTTGTTCTGTTAGTTTTAGCAAGAGCTGGTTGTTAAAAACAGCTTGGCACTTCCCCTTTCTCTCTTCCTCTCTTGCCATGCGATCACTTCACATTTCTGTTGACTGCTTCTGTTTGCTTTCCACTGTGAGTGGAAGCAGTCTGAGGCCCTCACCAGAAGCAGATGCTGGTGCCATGTTTCTTGTACAACCTGCAGAACTATTGAGCCAAATAAACCTCTTAACTTCTTTTCTTTACAAATTACCTAGCCTCAGGTATTCCTTTATAGCAACACAAAAAGAGACTTGAACAGTATTAAATATTTCCTCCTGGCTTATTACTTACATTTTAATATAATGGGGAGGGTCTTTTGTTGTATGGAATTTATTACTTTTCATATGCCAAACATGTTAAGACAAAATCAAATGAAACACAAGATAGGTAGCCATCTAAGGTAATTTTTCCCCTGATAGTCAATTGTTGTAACATCACTAGTCACAATGATCCAAATGGCACCTTTATCATTAGTTTAATTCCCACACTGGGTAGCCTAACATATTCTCTATTCTGTTTCATGGATCTAATGCTATTCCTTTTCAGATATTTTCACATTAAATTTCAGATAAAGCTTTTACAGGTAGGCGGGACTCTAGAGAGCAATCTGGAAACTGAGTTTTACAGAGGAATATAGTATTAATTGGGCAGGTTATCTATCTACCAACAGATAAATTATTTTCCACTATTACTTACTCTCCTTACCTTACCACTATTTCCCTCCCACTAAACACACAAACACTCTTAAAACTAGACCTTTAGGGAATCAAAGGTCATCATTGTAACTCTTCATTTTAGGCCTTATAACTCATCCGCTTTTTGCTAAAACCAGAAAAAGTACAATAAATTTAAAGTAACTTATACACTTAAATATAAGTAAATGATATACTACATTTAAATGTATACTAAGCAACATAGTCCCCAGTGCTTGAAGACCTGATCACCTTATCAGCAAAGAGTGCATTGTGCTCCCCTTCAGACAGCACATACTTCTAATCTCTCCATTCCTCTAACTTTTTTTAGATTCTGAACCAACTGTAGATAAATCTTTCTACTGCCAGACCAGTAAGTCAACTGAGTACAGAAGAAACAAAATTTATAAAATTCATACTATACTTAAAGTGATATCACTTGACCCAGGTGATTGGGTAGGATCATGTTGAATATTTTATTACTTTCAGAGAGATATGTGCATATGATTTAAAAATTAGTACAGAACTTATTAATAATAACTGTGTATCATTGGTAAACTCATCTGCCCTGTCCCTCCTCCTCACCACACTCCGAATTATTTCTCTATTTTGTTACTTCCCCAACCCCAACTGATAAGCTAATTCCACTGTTTCTTGAGTTATCAATTTTTAGACATTATGTGCTAACATTCTGCCATGAAATGTAAGAACTTAGCTCACTTACACTATCCTTTCTCTCTTGGCCTATCTTCTCCAATTTTTATTAGTTCTCTTAATTTCCCTAGTTACTTATGTCTGTCTTCTAGTTCTCATTCTATCAGCTTTAGAAACAAATCTCTTGGCATTTCACTTCTGGACACTCCTAATTGATAACTTTCTTTCATCTATTTCACTAGTCAACTTTCAGAAATATATCTCTACCTCCACTTGCAAGTGTTGATATTTATATTCCATCCTAAAGGAAGTATTCTGTGTTTTGTGATAAGCCTGTGCCATTTGAAGGAGAATGTTCTTTTTGTCCAAGTCAAATAAATTCTTTTTATTTCATAATTCTATTAATTATAATAACTATTATAATCAATCGAGGTCTCCATTCTAAATATAAAAAAACTAAATCTCATTAGACATGAGAAAAACAAATTCTGAATGAGGAAGACCAAAATAAACACAACACTTGACTTAGGGTAAAAGAACAGAGAGGTCAGAAAAGTAGTAAAGATTACAAAAACGAACCCATCACCTAGCCTATGAAACAAACAACCAAAATAATTAACCTCAGAGACTTTTATTTCCAACAATGGTCAGTTCCTTTCTTTTTAGATAATCTAATAACTTAGTGCAGACAAAGAAGATCACAGTCACAGTCATGGTAATCACAAACTAATGTAATCTAACATAAACTTTTATGATAGCTTTGGCTAAATGTTTGTGCCAATATATCCAGTAGTATATTAAAAAAAAAAAAAGAAACTAACAAAAGGGAATACCTTGGCTTTTGATATTTTTGATAATATCAAGCAATCTTGGTTCATTTGAGAATGTAGTGAACATAAGCATTCAAGAAAATGTGTTTCAAATTACCTAGAAACTTAAATTTAAATAAGAACATTTAAACAAATAGCATTTCCAAGGTAAAATTACCAAGCAACACTCCAAAACAGGAGATACAATATATCTCACAAACTTACCCTGGGAAATTGTACTGAAAAGTGTGGGATCAATGGCAGGAACAGTCTGTGGAGTAGGCTGGATAGTATTGCTTGTTACACCTGCAAATCAGAAAAGCACAAATGGGTATAAAATTGTTACCCTATTCAATTATATACTAGGAAAGTGTTTACAGAATTATAGGAGAACTTCATTATTTCATTTAATTATTTTCTTGAGACATTAATGGATTCTAATTGGATATACATATTTAACGTTGGAGGCTGGCAGAGAAAATATGCAGGAGAATACATTATGAGTACATATTCGTATTGGCTATATATTTCCTAACATGTAGTTTTGTCTAACACTTCAATTTACTTCTCAATTAAAGCTTACCAAATATCTATAGAAGTAAAAGACTTCTACTTCCTACTTTTCATTTTCTTAGCCACTTAAATAATTTTGGGGACAAGGTGAGACATAATTATGATTTAGTTTAACTTATGGGATGAGTCCCATTTCATCACTGTGCATGAAATTAAAATTATACATTTCAAATTTTCCAGTTCTCATATTTTGAAAATGGGATTTTTATATATCCAATAAACAATTAGTTTGTTTTTATTTCATGTTAGAACTTGTCAAAACTGTTATATTCAGTAAATAACTAAGCATTCTTGATTAATGGTAAGGAATGTACTAGAGTTGAAGATTATCAATCATCTAAAAAATTAACAAAGTGCTGAAACATTCAAAAAAAAAAAAGACTTAAATGATTCAATCAGCAAGGAAAGCAAATGTAGAAGCAAAACTGATTATTCTAAATCAATGGAGTTATTCTTTCAAAACAGGGTTCATTTGCCCCAACTTCATAGGTTAAATTCAAATAGGCAATTTGTAGTAAAAGTAAAGTGGCAGAGACACTGGGTTGAGGAAAAGCAAACAGAGGAAAGGGTGAAAATAAAGTAGGAAGTTTCTAGAGGCACAAAAACATATCTAACGAGAGTTCTAGTATGTTGGTTTCACAAAAGATGATTGAAGTTCTAAAATACAGTGTTTCTGGCATGAAGTTTTGACTTTGAAGAACTTTCTCATCACTAACGTAAGGGAAAAAGTAGTTTAAATAAACATAATTTTACTTCATTTAATTTTTAGGGCAAACCAATTTCATGTGTACAGCCTTTGGAACTATAAAAAGCCAGGAAAATTTTATTTTTTAACTAAAAATTGAACTATTAAAAATTTTAAAAGTATAAAAGGATATAGATGAAAAGTGAAGTACGAATTTTAGAATTTTAAACAGTACAAGAAAGTACAAAGGTGAAAGCCTGCCTCTCATTCCTACTCAGAACCACTTCATGACATACAAACACGTGTGAGTCCACGCCAATCTCTCTATGTACAATGCTATTCTTTGCTAAGACATTTGTGTTTTGAAATTCGAAAATCAAAATTCCCCAGAAGGCAAGCTTTGTGTGTGTTTTGCAAATGGCAGTAAGTTCTGTATACTATACTGTTTTGTGCATTTTTTACTTAATGTGTTTTAGCAATAAATCTGCCTTGTTCTTGTTAATAGCTACATAGTGTTCCATGCTATTATAAACACAATTTATAAAGCAGTCCATTATTTACAGACATTTAAGTTGTTTCCATTCTTTTGCTACCATAGATAATGCTATAGTGAATATTCTTATATATTGTGTGCATGAATACATTTATAGAAAAATTTATAGAAGTACATTTGCAAAGTTAGAGACATAAATTTTAAATTGACCAATGACTATTTTTTGCTTGATTTTTATAAATGCTAACCAAATATATTACTATAAACATTTGACATAATTTCCTCCACAAAACTTGCCAAACACTAAAAGACACATACATACATAATAATAAAAAAATGTTAGAATGTAAGATTTGAGAAGGATCTTCAGAGACTAGTCAAGTCTAGAGCTCAGCAGCAGCTGTACCTGCAACTTATGTTGATGGTTATATATATTATAAAAAGGGAAGTCGACAACACTCTCACAGCTCAGTCTATATATCAATGCTATTCCTCATTAAGAAATTTTTATTTTGACTAAATTAAAATCCTCTAAACAAACCCCTCTTTTTATGGAAAAGGTATACTTTTTGGTCAGCAACCTGCTTTAACTTTTAAATGCTTATTTGTACATCTCCATATGACTAATAGGCAATATAAATAAGAACAAAACAGAATTTACCGGGAGAAAATCTTTTTTATGTGGTAAAATCTCATTTGAGTGTTATTAAAAAAAATGTAGTTTGCATTTTATTAAGTCTTGTGGTTAGTCATTCAACTAAGGTTTGAACTGACTACATGCTCAAAGTGCCTCATGCAGCACAGTCAGAAGATGCTGTTAATCTCATTTGTCTTGAAGCACTGAAGCAAGGCCTGTTCTCTTGGCAGCCACTGTGAAAATGTTTCCACTGGGGCCTAGAGCACTGACTCAACACAGTCTCAAAAATACCTGTTAAGCTAGTAAAATGGTTTTTAGTTTATGCTATTTCTTTCTTTTTTTTTTGAGACAGAGTCTTGCTTTGTTGTCCAGGCTAGAGTGAGTGCCGTGGCGTCAGCCTAGCTCACAGCAACCTCAAACTCCTGGGCTCCAGTGATCCTTCTGCCTCAGCCTCCCGAGTAGCTGGGACTACAGGCATGCGCCACTATGCCTGGCTAATTTTTTATATATATATCAGTTGGCCAATTAATTTCATTCTATTTATAGTAGAGACGGGGTCTCGCTCTTGCTCAGGCTGGTTTCGAACTCCTGACCTTGAGCAATCCGCCCGCCTCGGCCTCCCAAGAGCTAGGATTACAGGCGTGAGCCACAGCGCCCGGCCTTATTTCTTTTTTGAGATGCTCAAATATAGTTATTTTTCCTTCTTCTTGACTTGGGTAGGTTTCATTCGTCAATATGCAAATAGATTACTGCCCCAAAGACTGTAATATGTTGGAATGATGCGACAAGAAGAACACTTCTCTGGGAAAGCAGAACTGTTTTGGAAATTTCTTTCTAGTATTTAACAAAAAAAGTGTTAATGAGTAACTTCTGGTTAACTTCTAAGTAGATGGTTATATAGCATATTAGATGGTATTAATACATATTAAAGAATTAAATATTATAAGAATTCTAATTAAGTACTAAACTGTTCTGTTAACTAAATGGTGTGGAGACTCTGAAAAGGGAGACATCTCCTGAGTGTTGGTTAGAAAACCAGAGAACACTGTCCAAAAAGTGTAATTAAACAGAACCCTAGAAAAACGTAGCATTTGGAGAGGCACAGAAAAAGGGAGAAAGACATGCTACAGATGAGGAACAATGCAAGCCAGGGTAAAAAAGTAGGAGGACTGAGTTGAGTAAAACTTTAGTGCAATCACGGGAAATAACATTGAGAGAAATGTGTATGCCCTAATATCAACAACAGAGTATCAAAGGCTAACAGAAGAACTCCAGTGCGGTCCATGGTACTCTTGACACAACACCACAGTGCAGATTTTGATCTATGTATGGGCTGAGCTGTATTTATAATTAAAAAGCTACCATTATTTGAAAATAATTCTATTATTTAATTGAATTAGATTTATTACTAAGGTCTTCTTCCTTAATATTTATGGTCTCTAGAAAGCTTATGATTTATGAGAAAGAAAAAAACCACATACCGTATCACCTACATGTGGTATTTGCAGTGTTAAAGCACAAGAAGGAAACACTTCGTCTGTTTAAACAATCACCATCCCTGTCCTCATTGCACCCCCTTTGCTTTTTTGTGGAAGAACTAAAAACTGTAAATTAGTACATACTATTCTTTTTAGCTATCTTAAGGATTTCCCTTTGATAAAAATGCATCCTGGACCTTTATATGAGAGAAAGTAAATCATTCTTAAAGTGAGTAAGAGGGGAAACATCTGTTATATTTATAAACTAAAAATGTTATTTTGTTTTTTATTAGGCAACTATGAACTGATTTTTTTTTTTTTTTTACTGTTTTAAATACAATATAAAAACAAATTGGGGGCTAAGAGGAGGAGATTCCAACATCTCAAACCAATCTTAAGGGGAAATATACTATCAGAAAAAGTAGGTTTTGCCTTGACAGGATTTTACATTCTTGGAAGAAGGGACATAGAAGGGACGTGGCCAAAACATGAAGTCAAATAAACTTGGATTCAAATTCTGGTTCTGTCACTTACTGGGTATGCTTGTTTTCCCTTGGATAACTGCTTACTTTCTTTAGAGTTTGTAAATCAGACACAGTAATCTTTAATTTAGTTGCTGTACAAAGTGTGTAAATTAGCTATGATAATTATTTAAATACTAAGTCTAGAAGCATTTAAATAGGAAAGGATCACGTCCTACAAAAGTTCTAATGTTTATGTTTTATTCACCCCTTTGAGGAACAAAAGAGAGAGAAAACATGAGGCTCATGCCAGAGTTAACTGGGTAAAAATCGTTTATGCCAGAAGACTTTCTAATAGAATACCACCTCCTAATAACTATCTTACGTCATGAATATTTTAACCAGGAAATATTGTCTATTAGTTTGAACATATGGAACTACCAGTATTTTACCATTTTTATTATATAAAACTAGTGATTCCATAAGATCAATCTAATATAGCCCTCCTACTAAAAGTGTGTTTGTCTTTCATATATTCATTGTGTGTGTGTTCATAGTACATTTGTATAAGTGCCAATACCACAACTATGCCTTACAATATGTTGCCTAGGCTGGGCATAGTGGCTCAAGCCTGTAATCCTAGCACTCTGGGTGGCCAAGACAGGAGGATCTTTTGAGCTCAGGAGTTCAAAGAGACCAGCCTGAGTAAGAAAGAGACCCCATCTCTATTAAAAATATATATTATATATATATATATATAAAGAAATTAGCTGGACAACTAAAAATATATAGAAAAAATTAGCCGGGCATGGTGGTGCATGCCTGTAGTCTCAGCTACCTGGGACACTGAGAAAGGAGGATCCATTGAGCCCAGGAGTTTGAAGTTGCTGTAAGCTAGGTTGACGCCACTGCACTCTAGCCCGGGGTAACAGAATGAGACTCTGTCTCAAAAAACAAACGAACAAAAACAAAAATGTTGCCTAAAGCAGTACCTTGTTGGGGGGGGCAGCCTTTCTATAAGGTTAATACACTACTCCTATATGTGATGTTTCTCTTGATTCACAAAACAATCTTAAGTATTCATTAACTTGTCATTAAATATCCTTTCTTTGACACAGAAACAGGAAGGAAGAGGGGGTAAAAAAGAGGGAAAAGAAGCTAATTTGCTGAACACCGATTTTGTGCTAGGCATAGTACTACTGAATTTTTATACCTCTCTGCCTTTAATAATTAAAATAACTGTAAGTATGATTAATTTCATGTTAAAAAGAGGAAAAACCTAGGTCAAGAGAATTTGAATACCAGTTGAGTTTGTGGTTTATCAAGGGGTAGAAACTAATAACCAATACTATGTGATCCTCAAATGCATTTCATTTCCCCATGGCCCCTGTATGAGAATGCCTGTGTCTGGGACTCTTGGTCAGTGTTTAAACTTTTGAGTATAACTGAACAGTATTCACTTAAGGCAAAAACACCTAAATAGCTGGTTTTGCTTACATTATTCTACCTTGGAAATACTATTTCTAAAACATAATAAAATATTTAAAACAGTGTTGGCATGAAATTTTACTTACAAAACAAATTCAAATTGGTTTTTCTATTAATGTCATCACATAGGACATAAAGCATTGAAAAGTCAGGGTAAAATACACCAAATGAAGACACAAAAGAGATCAGTGCTAAAATTATCACTTTCATCAACAATCTTAAAGGGAAAATATTAGCAATATCTATAGATAATAAAAACTTGAAAGTTTTACAATAGGATGAAAGAGACTAAATAATTGTTGCAACAATGGTCAAAACAGAAAACTTAAAAGTAAATTTCACTCATACAAAATAGCCTATGTGGTTTGGGTAAAATAGGCTGACAACTAAAAAGCAGTGACATAATAGTGTGTTACATAATAGAAAACAGTAGAAATCAGAGGTCAAACGATGACTCTCACTCCATTAATTAAATATTTTGAAATTACTGTAAAGTTTAGTACCATGGGTCACCTTTGTACTGGGATAAATACAAATTTTTAAAGAACAATTCTTAAAAAAATTAAAATAAATGAAGTGTAGAATTTAAATTTTTTGTGATCATTAATTATTTATTTGTATTTGTTTATACACTCACCTTTACACAAAATTTGGAGACAGCATACTTATGTTTAAATGACAAAATAATAAGTAAAATAATTAGTCAAACCTATTATTTTATTTTTTTATTTCAGCATATTATGGGGGCACAAATGTTAAAGTTACGTATATTGCCCTTGCCCTTCCACCCCTCTCGAGTCAGAGCTTCAAGCGTGACCATCCCCCAAACGTTGCATATCTCACTCATTATGTTTGTATATACCCATCCCCTCCTACCCTCTCCCACCTGCCCGACACCCAATAAATGTTATTCCTATATGTCCACTTAGGTGTCGATCTGTTAATACCAATTTACTGGTGAGTACATGTGGTGCTTGTTTTTTCATTCTTGAGATACTTCACTTAGTAGAATGGGTTCCAGCTCTATCCAGGAATATACAAGAGGTGCTATATCACCATTGTTTCTTAAAGCTGAGTAGCATTCCATGGTATGCATATACCACATTTTATTAATCCACTCATGTATTGATGGGCATTTGGGTTGTTTTCACATCTTTGCAATTGTGAATTGTGCTGCTATAAACATTTGAGTGCAGGTGTCTTTTTCATAAAGTGACTTTTGATCTTTTGGGTAGATGCCCAGTAGTGGAATTGCTGGATCAAACGGTAGATCTACTTGTATCGCTTTAAGGTATCTCCATTGCTTTCTACAGAGGTTGAACTAGTTTGCAGTCCCACCAGCAGTGGAGGAGTGTTCCTATCTCTCCGCATCCACGCCAACATTTATTGTTTGGGGACTTTTTGATAAAGGCCATTCATACTGGAGATAGGTGATTTCTCATTGCAGTTTTGATTTGCATTTCCCTGATGATTAGAGATGTTGAGTATTTTTGCATATGTTTGTTGGCCATTATTCTGTCTTCTTTTGAAAAATTTCTGTTCATGTCTTTTGTGCACTTTTTGATAGGGTTGTTTGATTTTTCCTTGCTGATTTTCTTGAGTTCTAAACATATTCTAGTTATCAGCCCTTTATCAGATGTGTAGCTTGTGAAAATTTTCTCCCATTCTGTGGGTTATCTGTTTGCTCTCTTGACAGTTTCTTTGGCTGTGCAGAAGCTTTTCCTGCAGAAATTATTCCACAACATCGAGAAGGATGGAATCCTTCCCAACACATTTTATGAAGTGTACATAACCCTAATACCAAAACCAAGAAAGGATGCAACAAAAAAGAAAACTACAGACCAATATCCCTTATGAATATAGATGCAAAAATTCTCAACAAAATCCTAGTCAATCGAATCCAGGTGTAGAATTTAAATTATCGTTGTTAACGCCCTTCAATTGGAAAGTAAGGGTGATACTTTGTCAATAATATAAGTAAATGAAGAATAGTTTCAATTTTGTGAAAGTGCCTCTATCTGCTGACACTGACTTACTACTAGACACAGGTTTTATCCGCCCTTTTTTCTATGAAAACATAGACATAGATAAGCAGATATCTCTTCCCTGTTTTTTTAAATTCACACATTCGTAAGGTTAAAAAAAGAAACCCTTCCTTTCACTCATCTGTGATTCCCCTGTTACTAAGATTCTGCACCTCAAAAGTGCTCCCCATCATCAATAAAACCCATGTCGGGGCAGGGGTAGGGTCCTCAGGCAATGAGGCAAGACAAATTTAATCTTGCTATCACAGTGAGACTCTGACTGACACATCCTATAGAAAGCTCACTCACCTCAGTGCTATTCATAAACAATAGTTAAGGGGGAAGGGAAGAGAAGGGAAGGGAAGAAAAAAGAATAGCAATACACATGCAAAGCACAGAAACTATTCCTATTAATAAAGTATAACATTAATATTAATCCAAACTAATATTTGTCATTTCTCAAAAACTGTAATATAACTAATATTAAAACTTCAATTAAAGAATTTAATTTTTTGGTGGGTTCAAATGGAATTTAAGGACCATATATGTTCACGGCTATCATTATGAAGCACAAATATGATAAGTAGTACAGCAATTATTTATAAAAGGGGAATTAAAAAATTGTTCAGTTTTAGTTTCCTACTTGTGCTGTGAGGCACTTCTGCTGGTGTATTAGCTGGGGCATGTGCGCCTGGAGGAATCTGTATTCCAGTATAGTTGCCCGATGGCATGTTGCTCGGGTCGTAAGTTGAAGATGATGATGGCTGAGGTGGCTGAGTGGGCAGAGAGGTTGCTCCAGCATCTTCATTTTCTTCAATGTCTATTATATAATATATACACAATGTTAAAGTAGGAATTTTGAAATATAAACACCAAATATTCTTATTTTGCTACATATACGACAAATGAACCCTTCAAACACAATTCTATTTAACGTAGTTAATAGGCTCTATTTCTTAAAATAATAGTTTTAATTTTTTTATTTTCTTAAAAATTTAATTTTGCCTGACAATATGATTATCACTTCTTTCAGAATAGCAGTTTCTAATTCTGTAAACTCTTCGCATATAGTATACTTTTCTTTAAAATAAACTTTCTTTAAACTTATTAAAAAATCAACATTTTTGGCAAAACACGCCACATTTATGCTATCCAGTAAGAAAGCTTCTGACAGCTGCTTTTTACTCAATACTTGTGGTGTACTAGCTACAAAATTATTATATGTATGTTGTTTCAAGTATTTAGTTAATAAATAAAAACAAAGGAATGAAATTTCACATTTAGTTATGTAGAAGAAAGTGATGAGATACTTTGTTTTCAAAAAAGTGATGAGATACTTTGTTTTGAAAAGTTTTGAAAGGTAGACTTATAAAATATACTGTATCATTAGAATTGGAAAACTATTTTGAGAAAATTAAATTTTGACAGTATATATAAAATGACAATTAGTCACTTTTGGGAATCACAGTCATTTAAAATAAAAGCAAGCTAAAGCTACAGATTTATGAAATAGAATATATTTTATTGTTTCTGATCAAATTTTTAAATAACTTTTGTCTGATTATTAATACATTATATATTCAATGTGGATAATTATAAATAAGCAAAAAGAAAATTAAATTTACCCACTACTCTGAGATGATGAGCATTTTACTAATTAAATTTGTGGATATATTTATATTTTATATGCATTAGAATCACTTTCTCCTATACTGGAAAACTCTAACATTTATACATTCTGGAAAAGGAAAAAAAACCCAAAAAAACCAAAAACCAAACAGAAATTCACTCTGTATTTTTTATATACTCCATAATATTTGAACCATGTGAATGTATTACTTACCACCCTACCCCCAATAATCTACACAATTCAAACAGATACACAAAAAATAATACAGTGTTCTTTGTGGTTTGGAAACATTTTATAAATTATAAATGGATTGCCTTTCCTATGCAGGGATGAAATGTGATCAGAGGCAGGAGACAAATCATTTTGTTGATCTGGACAGATATAGCAGTTTGGCCTTATCACTCAATGTCCCTATGTTTGTAATTTTATACTTAATTTTCATGGATTTTGGACTTGATGGAAACAAAATTGCATTGTTCCTTCCAAAGACTTTGAATAATAATCAAGTGAACAATTGTGATTCTATTAAATCATTTTACTTAGAACAAATAAATACATACCATTATCTTCTTCAATTCCAACAGGGCCTGCTTGTGGGGTCTCCCCATTCTTTAAACAATTGTGGATGTATGTTGCTTTCCACCTTGCATATTTCCTGTGTTTCACATTCTAAAAGAGAGTATTTTAATATCAATATTGGACTACGGCAAAAAAGCAAAAAATAAACATTTATGATGACCTATATCATATTTTTGACATAAAACCTATTTTTACAGATTACAGTTCTGAAAGTCTGGGAATCTCCTTATCCTATTGCTGGATTCTACCAACCATTTTGGGCTCGAAAGAGTTCATAAAAATCTATCTTCCTCAAAACACATGCCCAGTTCTCTTTTATGATTTCACATTTTAGAAAAGATCTGCAGTGGAAATATGGGAATGTCCAGCCAGCAAAATCTGAAACTCTTATGCACAGGGAAAACTAGGCTAAATGGAATTTTAGGATTTTAAGATTAAATATAAAATCATAGATTGAACTATTTTCCCTAAAGAGAAAAAAAGAAGACCTGTACAAATCTATGAAACTAAAGGAAAACTAAGATGATATAGTGGTTAAAGCAAATACTAGATTGATTAGCATGTAAACCTGCCTTTTTAATTAGTCATATGCTAGTTAACAACTCTGAACCTCAATTACCTCAATTCTAAAAAGGGAATCTGTAAGGAGAACTGAAAATATCATTGAAGAGCTTGCTAGTTGGCTCTTTCCCCCTGCCTTAAAATTTTGCTCCATGCTATACAATACAAGAGAGTAAAATCTCCTAGGATTGTGGATGGACTGGTGATTTTTAGTTTATATTTTGAATTGATCTTTATATGATAATACTTATGAACCAATGGCATTGGCATCACCTGGAAGCTTGTTAGAAATGCAGAATCTTCAAGCCCAACCCAGATCTACTGAACCAGAATCTGTGCCACAAGATCCCCATGTGATTTGTATACACAATAGAATTTGAGAGAGCAAATGGTTCTAGTACATTGAAAACAACAGTATTTGAAACACAGCAGCATTTTGCAAAGATTCATTAAGTCATGGATAAGTACAAATATAGCATATGGTCCAGATACTTAGTTGAGTATATAATGTGAGTCTCCAGATACTACTACAGATAACTTCTATATAGAAACCTAAAAAAAAGTAACCCTCAAATTACTGAATTGTTCTATATTTCATTTTCCTTTTCTTATTAAACACTCCTTTCATATATTCCATTAAAAAATTTCATACATTGATTCCAATTTTCTTCTATAGGTATGACTATATATTGTTCCACTTCTCAAACAAGTTTTTCCAAAGTGTCCACATTTAAAGCCTTCAACTTCTTCAACATTCTGCTCACTCTGGAGGGGAAGGGAACAGAGTTCTCTTTCTTTCTTTCCTGTTTAGTTCATATTCTCAAGTTACATAGAAGGTCAGAAAATTTGAATACACCTGTGCTTTTAATGGCAGGAAGCTGACATGTGCCAGCCTGTACCTCACCCAAGTCATCAGTTCACTTGCGGACCTGTTCTTGCTAATGTTACCAACAACCTACTCCACACTGGAAAACCCAAGGGACACTTTTCTGGCATCATTTTAGCAAACCTCTCAGCAGTTTATTAAACCTTGGGATATTCCAACCTTTGTGAAAATTCTCTATCCATGGCTTTTGTGACACTCTAGTCTCCTGGTTTCTCTCCTGTCTCCTTGGCTACTAATCCTCTATCCAATCTCCAAATAATTTTAAGCACCCTGTCCTAGCATAGACTGCAAACTAGTGGGCTCAACCAATGCTGATTCATATAGAATTTTAAAGATGAATTGTTTTCTATATTTAAATACTGGGAAAGTTATAGAAAATCCAAATTTCTAACTTCTCTTTTTTTTAAAAAAAGGAAGATCTGAACCCACATTTACTTGGTAATAATTATCTGAGCTGAATGGGGCAGTCCCCTTTAGATGCTGTATATTCATTCATTCTCCATCTCTCCTCCACTCTCCCCTACCTCTAGTTCACACACCATATCAGTTGCCATTTATTATCTCACAGTGGGCTTCATTTATCATATTATCCACCAGATTCCTACAAGCATTGTGATCCTGCCATGAAGCCTATTTTCGTATCTCTCCATACACATTCCCACGGCTTTAAATACTATTGCTGTCTTTATTATTCTTAGATTTATATATCCAACCAGGATCTGCTTCTGACAAATATCCAACTAACTATGTTACATGGCCACTTGGATGTCTAATGTATGATGGAAATTAATTTTTTTAAAACTGTTTCCTTGATTTCCCTCATTGCCTTTCCTCCCCATGGGTAAGTTTGTTCTCTCTAGTAAGAGATATGTGGGAGTCATTTTTAGCTGCTCTTCTTTCTTTTGAAATATGAATTTTTAATTTTTAATTATTATGGGTACATAGATGTATATACTTGGGGGGGTACATGTGATGTTTTGATACAGGCATACAATGTGAATTAATCAAATCAAGGTAACTGGGGCAACCATCACCTTAGGCATTTATCATTTCTTTGTGTTAGGAACATTCCAATTCTATTCTTTTATTTTAAAGCATACTCTAACTTATTGTTAATTAAACACTTTGCTGTGCTATCAAATATTATTCATTCTATCTAACCATCTAACTGTATTTTTGTACCCATTAACCACTCCCACTTTATCACTTCCTCCCTGCTCCTCCTTTCCAGCTTCTGGTAACTGTCATTCTACTCTCTCTCCATGAGACCACTTGTTTTAATATTTAGATCCAACACATGAATGAGATTTGCCTTTCTGTGCCTGGCTTATTTTACTTAAGGTTCTACAGTTCCAGCCATGTTGTTGCAAATGGCAAGCTTTCTTTCTTTTTTATGACTCTATTAACATTCCATTGTGTATGTACCACAATTCCTTTAACCATTCATCAACTGATGGGCACTTAGGTTGATTCCAAATCTTGGCTACTATGAATAGTGCCTTTATCCTTTGCTCTCCCCCTACTCCCTCATCTAATTCACCAAGAATCCACTTGGGTTTCCTTCTGAAACATACCTTGCTCTTCAGCTCCCCATTTGCTCTGCAATAGCCCCCTAATCTGTCTCCTTACTTATACTCTTGCCCTACCTGCCCCCCTCATCTTCCTCATCCAGTACTCAGAGTAGAGTGATCTTTTTCAAACATATATCCATTCAGCCCAATCTTTTCAGTGGCTTCCTGATGCACTTAAAATACAAAACACACTCTAGGCCGGGCGCAGTGGCTCACGCCTGTAATCCTAGCTCTCTGGGAGGCCGAGGTGGGCGGATTGCTCGAGGTCAGGAGTTCAAAACCAGCCTGAGCAAGAGTGAGACCCCGTCTCTACTATATTTTTTTTTTTTTTTTTTTTTGAGACAGAGTCTCGCTTTGTTGTCCAGGCTAGAGTGAGTGCCGTGGCGTCAGCCTAGCTCACAGCAACCTCAAACTCCTGGGCTCAAGCAATCCTCCTGCCTCAGCCTCCCGAGTAGCTGGGACTACAGGCATGCGCCACCATGCCCGGCTAATTTTTATTATATATATATTAGTTGGCCAATTAATTTCTTTCTCTTTATAGTAGAGACGGGGTCTCGCTCTTGCTCAGGCTAGTTTCGAACTCCTGACCTCGAGCAATCCGCCCACCTCAGCCTCCCAGAGTGCTAGGATTACAGGCGTGAGCCACCGCGCCCGGCAGTTCTCTCTTTCTTATACTACTCTGTCAAAGAGTATAAAACACCTGAGAGCAGTGGCTCTCAATGGGCACTGCCTCATACCCTAGCCTAGAGGGTGTTTTGAAAATATCTCAGGTGGTTTTTGGTTATCTCGATTACTGGGGAATGCTACTGGCATTGTGTGAGCAAGGGCCAGAGATGTTCAGAAATAAAAGGGGCAGTCGTACACAATAAAAAAAATTTGTTCTGTATTGGTCACAACTTCGAAACATCTTGCACAGCTTTCATGTTGGCAAAAACCTGACTTATAATCATCAAGCCTAGGGCTTAACTTCAGTTTACATATAAACAAAAAGAACTGTTTACAGTTTTGCTACACAATTTTTTACAAAAACACAAATACTTCATACATAAACTATACTTTGTTTTGTTTAGAACTTAACTTAAGAGCTATTCTTCGTCTGAAAAAAATCCTATCATGGAAAAGTTTTCCTCACGGTATTCAAATCACCCATAAAACACCTGTATCAGTCTCATTTGTAGCTTTCTCTATCTCTTTCTAGATTAATATCTCCTCATTCAAAAAACAAATTTTCCATATGTATGGTAAAGTCTGATACAGTGAAAACACTGAACTCAAAGCAGTAAGTTTGTCCTTTAGTCTCAATCTGCTCATATATAAAATTATGTGCTCTGCTTATCTTAAAGTCATTATAAGAATCAAACTGGTAAAATGGATGTGAAATAGCCTATAAGATGCCAAGTCCCACATATATTTTACAAGGGAAATAAGTCATCAACAATACCTCTGACTAGAAAGGAGATGGAAAAAAAAATTGTACCCAAAAGATTCTGTCTCCAGTATGTTTATCAAATTACAGTGCAGAAAGCTAACAGAACACATGATTAGCAATATATATGAATACTTAATAAAATCAAACTCTAAATCTGTGCTGTCCAATATAGCAGCCACATGTGCTAAAGTGTAAAATTCAAACTGGATTTAAAGAATTTAATACAAAAAATAAAATATATAACATAAAATAATTTCATGTTTCTTTTCACTTTTTAAACAATGACTAATAAAAAATTAAAAACTATATTTTTTGCTTGCATTACATTTCTTCTTTTTTTTTTTTTAGTAAAACATTTAAAAATTTTATTTTTTCCTTTTATTTTTTACCATATTATGGGGGTACAAATATTGTTAGGGTTACATATATTGCCCCTGCCGTTCCTCCCCTCGCCCCCCACCTTCTCAAAACATCAAGCATGTCCAACCCCCAGGTGGTGTGCATTATTTTGTAAGTATATATCCTTCCCTTCCTCCCCCCTCCCATCTGCCCAGCACCTGATAAAAGTTTTTTTTTTTTT